ATATGAAATGAGAGAAATGGTCATGACTTTACTCAGCATGGCATGAGGCCCTCTTTGGCTCATCTATTGGGGGTGTCGCTTCTTAATGTTCCCGTCGCTTGACAGGGTTTTGGCCTTCCATGTCCAGCGGCTATTAAATTCTTATACACGAGTATTGACGGATGCAATATGGGGCTTTCCATTTCCAAACTCGGGGGGTCCAATTTTCGGAAGGGGGGGGGGTCTTCATAATAGGGATTAGACTTTTTTGTTGACTATGTTGGGGTCCCGGTATTTGGGAGAACCTCCATATCATCAGTACCATTGCTGCTATGATAACAACAACAACGACGACGACGACGACGACGGTGACGGTGACGGTGACGGTGACGGTGACGGTGACGGGGACGACGACGACGACGACGACGACGACGACGACGACAACGACAACGACAACAACATGCTGACCCTAGCCATAATCATAATTTGACCATAATATAACTACTAGTACTGTGGTTGATATGTTGTTATCAATGTTGCTACCACTCTTATGATGAAAACAGCTTAAAGCCACTACTATTATGATGGTTCTGGTGTTGCTGTCACTTCTACTACCGCTCCATCATGAAGATATGACTACTGCTAGTACTGCTAGTACGGTGATTATGTTGTCTCGCTGCTGCTACTGCTTTTATGCTCAAAATATAACTACAATAACTATTCATTATGTTATTACACTGTTCCGTGAATCAACAGCTCGAGCTCGATGGATTTGAAGCATTCTCTTGTAAGCCGCGGACTCCCCCACTGCCTGGGCTTGGGCCACCAGCCTTAGTGATTATATTGTTCCTACTGCTCTTCTGACGAATGCATAACTACGAACGTTATGATTCTTATTCTTATTACTGCTACAAATACGAATGAAAACAATAACAGTCTTATTGGCACGCAGTCATTCCATCAGCTACTGCCACAATGAGAGCTATAGTCTGAACTCCTAACATACCCCGTAATAGCCCCCACTATAGTCCCTTATATAATCCCCTATATAACCTCCTTCAAGGAATCTAGACTATTCCTCATGACTCGCTGGGTATCCAGCTGGTCCACCGGCTGCCGAAAAACTCGTCGCAAACACGACCAGCCGCGCCTCAACCTCAGATGAGCTACAGTCTAAACTCCCGAAAGTGGGTTATATAGGGGAGTAGAATAATGGTTTTAAAGGGGGATGCTAGGAGTTGAGACTATGGCTGAGATCAGCACGGACTTCCTAGACAGCAGGAAGAAACAATGTCCTTCACACAAGGCTCGCACACAATGCCAGCTCTGTCATCCTCGTTCTCTGGAGGGAGCACGGCCTCAGGTCTCAAGCTCATACATGATTCCGACCGGCAAGAAAACATCCTGTGCACCCCGCAACAGCTCGGAAATCGCGTTCGCAGGCCTCAAACGGCCTGCCTGATCCACCCAACAATGCCTTCGGCAAGCAGCACCTGGCCAGGAAGAATGCAAGATCCGCCCGATAATCTGAATGTATACGGTGGAAGCTAGCAAAAAATGTGTTTGTGGATTATTCTAGGGAATAGAGGGATTATGGTCCACAATGATGAGGCAAGTAATCCCAGAAATACCATGTGAATTGGCTGTCCTCAATGCCGTCAGCTCGCTCTCGCATGGCAGATTTTCACCTGCAAAAGCTGCTGCTTGGACCAAAACAACCCACATATGCGTATTGGATCGTATTGGGGGATTGGAAAAGACCATGAACAACTCTATGCTAACTTAGGGTTTAGGGGTATTATTGCTCAGCATGATATGAGCTACAGTCAATGGCAAGATATTAGCTATAGTCAGTGTTCCCCATATGAACCATTGTCTAAACTCCTAGTATTCCCCCCCACAACCCCTATAATAGTCCCGTATATTATCCCTTATAGAACTCCCCTTGAAGGAGTTTAGACTATAGCTCATATCATTCAAGATGAGTTGTCCCGCGCATATGGCCGTTGCCAGGGTTGTGGCCCGAGAAGCTTCTGTGCAAACCATTTTCAGGGTTTAGGGTTCAGGGTTTAGGGTCTATATATGGTTCGCTGTTCATATGAGCTATGATCTAAACTCCTAGTATCCCCCGTAAGCCCTATACTACTCCCCTAGGTCCCCTTTAAGGAGTTTAGACTATAGCTCTGGTTCAGGGTTTTATACATGTAGGGTTCAGGGTATATATGTATATAGAGCTCAGGATTTGAGACAGGGTTCAGGGTTTGCATAGGCCTCTGGGTTTTTCAGGTTCAGGGTTTATACAGGGCTCAGTCAGGATTTATCTAGGCTGTAATGTTTAGGGTTTACTACGGAGCAAGAGTGTACAGCTAGTCGGAGGTCCGCAGAACGTGCGCGAAGCTTTTTTTGTTGAGATAGTAACTCGACAACCTATGCGGGTAGTTCCCAAAATTAGGGTCCCATTTTGGTACCCCTAAATATTAGGTGCCGTGATATAATCTATAAGCAAAAGGGGCCCCTTAGTCTGAACAACAACCCATATAACACCTCTATGACCCCTAAACCCTGAACCCTAAACCCTAACTCCTCTATGACCCCCGTTTGCATTCAATGTTCCATTGTCTTTCCATCTTTCAACTTCTCATCTCCAAGTCAACCACACGGTTTAGGGTTTAGGGTTTAGGGTTCTGGGGTTGACGGTTAATCTCTAAGCCCTTTTGCATCCAGCCTGCAGCGCCTCTGCCCGGAAAGATGTACATCGGTGCTTCGCACAAAACACAAGCCACACTGCCGTAAATCCCCAAACTTACCTTAAAGCGTTGGGCCTCCGCGTGAGTTGGGCTGCTTGTCAAGCCTTTCGCGTGCATCCCAGCCAGCCTTTCGACACAGTATGAAGCAGTCTATAATGCAGCAGAATACAAGGTAACATGGTATGATAAGGCGATGTAGTTTCATGGAAATATGGAATAACATAATACATCAACTTGATATAGTTTGATAGAGTCTGAATCCCTAAAACCTAAACCCTCGTCTAGCCAACTGACTGTTGAGCTTCCGGCCTGTCGGCAGCAGCGCACATATTGCGTGACCAGCTCGGCGCAGGGTGATGCGGCCAGCCGTTGCTGCACGCCCCAGGCCCAACAGTTCGACATGAGGACACACCAGATCAAAGGATAGATGGGGATGTTTAGGGTTTAGGTTTTGTAAGGTTTAGGGTTTAGGATTTAGGGTTTAGGGTTTAGGGTTGAGGGTTGAGGGTTAGGGTTCAGGATTTGGGGTTTAGGAGTGCTATACAGAGGAATAGAGAGAAATTTCGAGGATGTCTATATAGGGCTCATTCAAGTGTTCTCTATAATAATATCTATAAGACCTATGGGGGGATATAAGCTATGGCTTGATTGGTTTCCGACCTAAGCCAAAACTTAAGACATCTGCCACTTCCATTCAAATTCCTAGGCTACATCGGGGTATATAGGGATTTGCATATGTGGCTGTATAGGTTATATTGGGATATGTACATGACAACTTAGTCAATTGCTCACCTCTGCTTTGCGCGATGCTCAAGTAAGGCAAGCTGAAGACATGTATCCATGGCTGATTTTTTGTGCGCAACAGAACCGTCGCATTCAAGCGTTCAGGAAAAGCGAAACTCCCCTCCGCCCCAGCCTGTGTGAAGAAGCATAACCACCTGGGCCAAACCCGCCATTGCCAAGCCGTAAAGAACTCAGAGTTTGTGTTCGCACATTTTGCTGGACTGCGAGGCGTGAGTGGCTTTTTGTCTCCAATTCTGGAGCACGGTCTGTACCAAATAACTAACTGAGGAAAATAGACCGAGACGAGCGCAAGATTGCAGGCAGCTCACGTTCGTGAAGCTGCTCTCGGCCACCTTCTAAAACTGACCCTGGCAAACACTGTGCAAGGAGCGTTGACCCGGCCAATTTACTAAAGACTGGCTCCAGGCGGATGACGGAACTCGTGCCGGCATCTTGTGGCCAAGTGGCGAATGTGCCATCAACCAAGCTGGGCCAACAAAAATTCTGTAGGCAAATGGGCATCTGGTGTCACAAGCATGCTTGTGAATTCCAATGAAAGTGGCTGTGGCAAGAATACTCAATTCGCAAACAGGTCAGGTTTGTCTGGCAAGTTGGTATAGTGTCTAGAATGTAGAAGGGCGATGAAGAGCGGTCACTTTCACTGACACCGCGTTTTTTTTGTTGATACCTAGGAAAACGTTATCACATAAGCGGGATATGCCGCACCGGGCGACTGCGTGACCTCTGCAGAAGTTGCTTCATCTTTGAAGTACGAACGGACTCAAAGCAAAGATCTGTCTCAGCGCGGAGCAAATATTTCAGGGTTGGACAGGCTATCCACTGAGGCATTGTACCTTGCACAGGCATGTACAAAGAAGCGACGACTTCTACCTACCTCTGCAAGCATGACCCGTATAGTCCAATCACTGTCCAATCCCTGGGCGTTCAGATGCAAAGTTTCTGCAGGCGCTTCAACTTCGTCACACCGTCAGAGTTGACCAGCCTGCTTCTTTCCTGTCAACAGGCCACCTTGCCTGCTTTGCAGAAAATCCCTTGTGCTGCCACGGGCACCGATGACGACCCTGACGAAAGGGCAGTACGCCCTTGTGCTCTGGATCTGCAGGCAAGGCAAATTACAGGACAGAAAGCAACACACCTCGACAGCACTACTCCAGAGAACCATCCTATGTATCCCATTATAGTAGTTTCCATTTTATTTTCCATTATCCCAATAGTATCCCCAATACTAATTAACCCCAAATACATGCATTAAGGCCCTGCATGCCTCCCAAGCATACGAAGCCATTCATCAGCAAGCAAAGCCTGGGCTCATGCTTAACAGTTGTGCAGGCATAGCTATACCCCATCATCAGTGGACATTCACCTGCTGGCTGCAGTAGAGTAGCAGTATCTGCCGGCTGCCGTCCACTTGGGGACTGCAGAAGCCTCCATCATACACGTACCTCTTTCAGGCCCACATGACATTCTGGACTGACTAGCAACAGACGGCAAAAAGCCAGCACCAGAACATCCAGAACCAGTGCCAGGCAAGCTGCTTGGCATCACGAGCAAAGTACGTCCCAGAGCCCCACAGGGCATTGCCACGAGTTCCGGACATGAGTGGCTGAAATCCTTCAGGACACGTGTGGAGAACACATAGAGGCACTCGTCCTAGGCGCTTGCACAAGACGCACGGTGCGCGCCAATTGCCTGAAATGGGATTGGAGACGATGGACTCCTTGCAACCAAGCATGTCGGAAGCTTGCGCGGTAGGAGGTTGTACTAAGTTTGCCAAGTCACCACTGCGCTAGAGCCGTGGAAGACCCAACGCGTATGCAAACCAGGTACGAACGCCACCTGAATCCCAAGACGCGCTTGCACCGGGGGCTAACTACCTTCCAATCAGAGAAGCGATCAGCACTGCGCTTTTACTTGTACTTTGTGCATCTGGGTCACACCCTGGTTCTCCACGCCACGCTGCAATGCCTGCAAGTGTTGAGGCAAACAGGCGGCCGAGGCAAAATCTAGCAAAGTATCAGCCGAGGATACGGTCGCAAGTTTTTCCCGAGTTTTTGGTTGCTTTTTCATCTGTTGTCCCATATTTGGGGCCACCGCAGAACGCAAAAATGCCGCAATTGGAGCTCTTGCTAATCTCAGAATACTGTAAGGCAGCACTTGTAATTGCTCAGACTGCACACGCTGTCAACGCAGCATTTTTAACCGGATTGCACGCTCAAAATCTTGCAAGCTCAAAAGCTCAAACGTTTGCGAGACTAAGCTGTCCGATGGCAAGGTTGTTCATACTTTTCCCCAAGACATGTGCCCCCCGCCGAACATTGTTCCCGGCTTGCTTGCTTACCATAAGACATTCCCTCCTCATCGCAAGTGGATTGTCCGCCTTCGTCCAGGCCAAGCTCCACTACAACACCTGAATCCCGATTGACCTGCAGTACATGATCCTCGCGGGCAAGCCACCTGAGGATGTCCCTGTGCTGCTTTGTTCTTGATGCCTTGATCCCAGTGGTGTACCCACATGCTGGAGGTGTATGGTATGGTATGCCTCACCCAGCAGAACGGACAAAAATGATGACATCATATGACATCCCTGACAAGACCACCACGTGGATATGAAGGTGTCAGGCACAAGTCTTTCTGCCAAAGCTTGGGTCAGAGATAAGAAGAGCCCTGCAGACCAGCGCACACTTATCTTGGGCAGTAACCCCTAGAGCCCCCCCTTAAGTAGATAGAGTCTGGCTTTGGGTATATAATAATAAAATCCCCATATACCCATATTCTATCCCCTATATAATAACCCATTATAATATTGCCCTTCTGGAGCGTGCACTCTGTTTGATTTCCACTTTCAAGACGGCCATAGCCTCACCTAATCCCTTGCATTACATGGAAAAGGGCGTTTGGCTTCAAAGGATCGCAAATGAGAAAAAATGGGTTTGCATCATTTCTGCATGGACTTTTTTGGCTGCGACGTGTTTCGGGCAGTTGCTGGCTTGCTTGCCATGCTGCACGAAGGCACAAATTCATCTTGCTTGCTTGTTTGTTTGCAGGGAGTAGAATAAAGAAGGCAAAACACACCGCCCCAAAAACTGACCTTGTAGTATGGCTCCGCGCTGCCGTCCTCCTGCATTCCATTCTCCACGCGCTCAATCTTTACCTGCATCGTCACCATCGAAAAGCTCTGGGACAATAACTCGGCAAAACTCAGATTCTAAAACGTGCGCTGAAAAGTTCTGCGTGCAGACCAGTTGCAATAGAGATGTCTTGCCACATGGCTGGGTTCATGTCCTTTGAATGGGGAGGGGCATTGCGAAAACATCAAGCCTTGACCCCAAACCTTACCTCCTACAGCCCATACAGTAATTACTATAGTCTCCTTAGACCTACCATAAACTATCTTTAATAATTCCGTAGGGTTATACTAGAATAAAGATTAAACATCGTTCCTAAGGAGACTACAGATTATAGTTCCATGGGAAACAGCAAGCCTGGCCCTAGTTCCATGAGATGGACAACGTCGATGTGTTGGACGTGCTAGCCCTGAAGGGACATGCCGCACACCTCCCTGATTGCAAGCCTTTTCTCCTTCGAGAAATCTAGATGTTGCTCCGCTGCAAATTAGCAGCTCTGCAACATCACTCCTCCCATCCAAAGCAGCCATGTCTAATGCTGTAAGACCATCTCCGTTCGCTACGGATACATTAGCCTGGCCTTCTAGCAACAGTTCCACAACACCTGGATGGCCGCGTTCTGCCGCCACATGCAGAGGTGCATCACCGTCTGAACTTGAGATGTTCATCTCAGCCCGCGCTTCCAGCAAGGCTTTGGCAACCTCCATGTGCCCTTCTCGCGAAGCGAAAATCAGCGGAGTGTAGCCGGCAGCATCCACAGGGTCGACCAATGCATGTGCCATGAGGAGAAGCTCTGCTGGCTCAACCAGGCTCTGGTATGCAGCAAAATGTAGAGGAGTTTTCCCATCATGAGAGGCACTATTTGGCTCTGCAGTACTCTGGATTAGAGCTCGGCAAGCTTCAGTGTGCCCCTTGGCAACCGCACAGTGCAAAGGCGAAGCTCCGGCAGAATTGGGCTTGTTGACATCCGCTTTGGCCTCCACGAGGGCTAGCAGCACATTCAAGTGCCCCCGAGCAGCTGCCACATGTAGAGGCGTTATGGCCGTCTTTGCAAAGGCCTGTTCCACGTCAGCTCTCTCTTCCAACAGCAGGCGCGCCACATTTTCATGACCTGCAAGCAATGGGGATCTTATTATAATATACCNNTCTTTTCCATTATCCCTACATACAAGCACTTTGAAATCAAGCTGGCTCAACCCTGCAAGGGTTCACGAAATTTGCATACCTTGCACGGCCAGCCTCTTTCGGCTGCTAGATGTAGCGGAGTCCCAAACTGGCGATGGGTGCTGGTTACCTGGGTTGCTGTTAAGGAACCTAAACTGAAATAATAGAATGAGGGAACCCTATTATTCACTATATACCCGTTATTATTGTATCTACCCTAAGCCCTAAGCCCTAAATCCTTCAACCGATATTGTGTAACTTAATTTAGGCTACTATCATGAACCCTAAACCCTACACACCCATATTATGTTATCTAGCTTAACTTCCTTATTATTCACTACATACCCATATTACCTAAATAGTAGCTTCCATTTTCTCTTCAATACAACCCCTATATAACCCCAATATTATAACCACCCTGAACCCTAAACCCTAAACCCTAAACCCCTAAACTCTAAACCCAAAGTTCCTTAAGCCAGCTACATCCGATCGCCTTTCCAGGACTCGCTGGGTGAGTTCTGTGATACCCAACCCAGCGGATAGATGGAGCAAGGTCGTACCGTCACCTGAGCTATAAAAGGGCTTAGGGTTTAGGGTTTAGGGCTTAGGGGTTTAGGGTTTAGGACTTCAGGAGCAAAGTCGCACCACCACCTGAGTATAGAAATAAAAAAGTATACCCAAAAGGAAGATGCAATCTTACTGTGGGCTAGGCATAGGCTAGACTGTCCCTAAATCAAGTACTACTCACTTGGAAGAAGCGCGCATCTTGGCAGAAAACAACGGCATCATACAGGATTATGGAAAAGAAGTCAGCAGGCACGTCCCCACTGAAGGCGAAGGGGGTAGCTTCTTCTGGATGTCAACTCTGTGTTCTTGAACACCCTCAGCATGTCTGTCCAACTTCTTGCGCCCACACTTCTTGCCATATGCGGTTGCCCCTTAAAACCCCAGCAATGCTAAAGCAACCCGAATGGAGAAGCATTTGGCTCCCAAGCCACGCTAGAAAAGCCATCCGTTCAATTACTGGAACAGAACATCGCAGCTACTTTGTAGGGTGTAGATATGGCTTACAGGAATGGAAAATCGACTCCAAAAGAAAATGGAAAATGGAATGACTGGGACTGTATAGCTGGCTATCACTATAGTGGGTAGGATGTCGATGTCGTGCCCTGCCCGGACACGTTGAGCGAAACATGACACTACTTCACTGAGCCCTGGACGCTGCCCACTCATAGATACCCGAAATGTAATACTATCAAGCATTCGAGTCAGCATGCCTGTTGGGGCCGGGAGGATTATTGTTAGGGTGAGGGGACTCATGGACACAAGGTTGACTTGCTTTTACTTTCCCCTGTCAAGTGTTCAAAAGGTGATAAAAAAAAAACGGATATGTTCTTAACATCTTGCCCAACCCTGTAATCTGTAGCTGCTACCGCGAAGAGGTGTACAACACGCAGTGGTGCCTTCAAGAGCACATCAGCAAAACAAGTTGTCCAACGTAGGCAAGCAGCGGTCTAGAGCCTGAGTTGGAAGCCCTGGAAGGCACTCCTCGACGCGCGCCAGCACGGCTTGAGACGCGCGCCGTGTGCGCAGAACCTGCCGCGCGGTATGGCACTTAATATTCAGTGTTACACAGTATTATATTAAACTATGGTCTATATCTATGTTATACTATGTTACACCATATCATACTGAATCATGTCCATCGATGGACGAGAACAAGTTCCTCTCCCAGCTTGTTGTCTTCTGGACTTCTTCTATTCAGTGAATTTGTCAGGAGATGCCTATGGCATTAGATCAAGGTGCCTGCCCGCTTCAGATGTAAAACGGCAACTTTATAGCTGCGCCTCTCGCGGAGCCGTGTAGCCAAGGCAGTTTGCCAGAGTCTCCTGCAAGGCGATTTCTGCTTGGAGAAGCGTGGCCGACATGGGAAGTCAGACTGCATCAAGGTTGGCAAGCCAGAACCGAAGATAAGACTGACATGAGCCATCATCAAAACCCCTAGTATCCCAATTCCTAACCCCTGAGGCAATACAATAGCTCCCTACATAATCCTCTATATAACCCCCCTAAAGCATGGTCTGCTTGTGAAGCGGAAATGTTCAGCCCACGCAGGAAGGCAGCCTCAAGTAAGCTGGCGAGCTCGCCCTCTGCAAGCTCCATGACACGTGTGCATATAGTCCCCCTTAAGTAGATAGAATATTGGGGTTTATATCGGGATAATGGAAAAGAAAATGGAAACTACTACGTACATTATAATCGGGTATATATTGGGGGTTATAGTCCCCCTTAAGTAGATAGAATATGGCTTTGGGTATATTATAAACAGATCCCAAAATACCCCGTGTTCTATCTACTTAAGGGGGACAAGAGCTACAGAACCTGCTGTTTGCCAAACTTTCAGTGTCTGTGCTCAAATGCCGGAGTTTGGTGGTTGCTAAGGCTACAACATCGTGCTTGAAAACCTTTGTGCCAAATGCTGAACAGAGGCACGAGCTTTTGAGGCTTTCCAGAAGTGAGGGTTTCCATGAATAGGGGGTTCCAAGTATGGACCCCAATATACTACAAGACTATAAGTCTCATTGTGCGTAAATGGCATGTCTGATTGTTGGACCCCAAGTCTGCCGCGGTATTGGGTTTAGGGTATTGGGTTAAAGGGTTTAGGGATATAGGGTTTAGGGTTCAGGGTTCAGCATCTAGGTTGCTGTGCAGAAAGCACCTCCTGATGCATCAGCAAGTGTACATCAAGCGTCCGCCTTCTTCTTGCCAAGAGTCTGCATATGCGCGGGCGACCGCGGGCTGTGACCTGAAGATCGTCGCAACTTTTTCATACCTTAGTAGCGCTGCTGGCTGAGGCTTGCCATTGCATCCAAATGCCCTAAACCCTAAACCCTATCCTCTATCTGTCCAGCCGTACTGCTCCTCAGAATCGCTTCTGACTTCGAATAAGATTTGGTCATCCATACCTGCCAAGGACATCAAGTGTGTCCTAAACCCTAAACCTCAAAGCTAAGAGTTTAGGGTTTAGGGCCTAGACCCTGTGTATATGAGCCATAATCTAAACTCCTAAAAGCGGGCTATATAGGGAATTATATTTAGGGGACTACTATACGGGGATGTTAACTGGGGATACTAGGAGTTTAGACTATGGCTCATATGAGCTATAGTCTAAACTCCTTAAAGGGGGTTATATAGGGGATTATATATGGGACTACTATAGGGGATGTTAACGGGGGATACTAGGAGTTTAGACTATGGCTCATATGATAGTTTCCCAAAATAAGGGGACCCCAATGTAGACCCCCAAATATTACAATCCTTATTATGGGGACCCCCAAAAGGGTGCCCCTAATTTTGGGAAACCCCCATATGAGTCCATGCCAAGGCCTTTTTGCTCTTCTGACTGCCAAAACGTTCGGAGACCGGGCGCATAACCAAGCCACTCCTGCTAGCAGGCAGGAAAGATCCAACTCAAGTGCGGTAGGTAGTAATAATGGTAGCAATAAGGTAGTAACGATAGTAATTTAGTAAGACGAGCTGGAAGAGTAATAGCAGTAAGAATAAGAATGAAAATTTACCACCCCTGGATCCCAAACCCTAAACCCCAAACATAGTAGTAAACAATAGCAAGGATTGCCCATCTCCTCTGCGTCCAGTCGCTCCTACAGGGTCCCAGCACGCACAACCCAGAGTCTGCGCAATGCATTCTCACACAGAGTTTGCTTACTGGGGCCTAGCAGGGAATAAGGGATTTTACTAGATAGGGGTTATCTAGGGCTTTTTCCCCCTAATTCCCTACTGACCACGAGTAAGTTTAGGGTTTAAGGGATCGGACAAAATCCTAAACCCTAAACCGCTCCTTCATCAACATGGAGCGCCAGGATCTCATGATGCTCAGCTCGGGGCACTCGGGAGCCATTGCGGCATCGCAAAGCCGTGGCAAGGTGTCCCACATCTTCAGTGAACTGCAGGGCCAGACAAAAGGGTTTAGGGTGTATAGAGTTTAGGGTTCAGGGCTCCGAGTTTAGGGTTTAGGGCTTTAGTGTCACCGTTGTTACTATTGTTATGACTACTATTCTTATTACCATTAGGATTTTTTATACTATTGTGACCATTATTACTACCACTAGTCTTATTGCAATTAAAAGTATATACTACTGTTACCATCATTTTCACTGCTAGCCCAATTCCAATTAGTACTCCCAGTATTTCTATATTACTGCTATTCTTATTGCAATTAGTATTACTATTCTAACTGCTACTATTACTCCTCTGCGGGTGCTCCCTGAAGCTAGACACCAAATCTGACCAGAGGAATACCATTCTCGCTGAGATTCTCCATATTGTGCTTGTCCCCAAGACGCGTATGCCCACGCCCAAGAACTCCACTATTTGCGGTGTAGTACAGGAAGCATTTGTTCCCAGATCCTGCCGATTGAAGTGACGTCGTTCTTTTAGAGATTCTGCACTTGATCTCAACACCCAATTCAGACTCATTACGCAAGATACCCTTAGCGATACTAGGATCCCTTATATGGCTTCAGGTATCTTCCAGAATTAACGGGTATTGAGCCCCTGGGCACGAGCAAGCCCGGCAGGTAACAGCCGAGTGCGAGATTTCCGGCCTGTGCGCATCAGGGCTTCAAGATCTTCTCGTCTGTACTGGTAGTACTCATCGTTGGAGCCATGCGCCAGGACGACCCTGCTTCCTTAGGCAAGGGGCTAAAGAACTGCCAAGCCAGCAGCAGCACGTAGTCTAATCTCCTAGTATCCCCCTTAATAACCCCTATGATACTCCCCTAGACTATCACTTGACAAAATCTGTGTAGGAGTTTAGATCCAAAACCCCTTAACCTCTATGTCTATAACCCCCTTTAAGAAGTTTAGATTCTAGCTCACATGATCACAGGCCAGGCACCTTTTGGCAAATGAGTTAGCGTGGGATGCCTGCCACGGGGCAGATGACATGCCGGGCCCAGAGTTTAGGGCTTAGGGCTTTAGGGTTTAGGGTTTAGGGTTTAGGACTTAGAGTTTAGAATTTCAGGGTCAACCCTAAACCCTAAACCCGTGCCTGTTGATAATCAACGAAGGCCCTGTCCACATGCCTGTTTGCCAGAGTGCGGTGATATATGCGCCACCTTTGGAGGCGCATACCTCTCTTCCCCGATAACCAAGGGTTTAGGGTTTAGAGTTTAGGGTTTCGGGTTTATGGTTTAGGGTTAGACCCAAAAAGGAAGCCCAAAAAGGCTAAAGTTCTTCTATTGGCTAAGTAAGATACAAGCAAGTGTGGTTCGAACTCATCCACAGCTCGCTTGATGACCTCGTGCCGTGCAGAAGCTTGAGGCTGCAATGCTGATGTACACTAAACCGATATACTGAAATGCGGTATGATATAGTATAATATGGTATAATATAATACAGTATGATAAAACAGAATATAACAAAATCAAACATGATATGATGTAACAGTATATATCACAACAAAACATAATATGATGCAATATCTCATTATATATACCATACTGTAACATAGTAGGCCCCAAACCCCGAACCCATTTAGACTGGGCAGCGAGCCGGCAAATGTTGCAGTATCGGGAAGGAGGGCGACTCTGGATTCGGCAGGTCAAATACCCAGCGTACCTTGGACGGTGATCGTCCCCTTAAAGTAGGGTACCCTAAACCCTGAACCCTAGGATGTAGGGTTGGACGGTTGTAGCCCCCCTTAGGTAGGGTTTAGGGTTTAGGATATAAGGTGTAGGGTTTGGGGTTGAGGGTTGAGGGTATAGTCCGCCTTAAGTAGATCGAATATGGGGTAGATGAGGATCTCATTCTGATATTGAACAATTCCATAGTCTATGTACTTAATGGGGACTGTCACCCTGAACGTTTTAAAGAACAGCTCTCGCTCTCTGGAGTGAAATTAGGTCTTTCCCCATTGCGGTAACAGTTCCCCCAAGAGGCACTGGGAATTGAAAATGGCCCTTTCACAAAACCCTTGAGCTCTAGCTTTATAGTCCCCCTTAAAGTAGATAGAATCTGGGTGATCTAAGGGATTTAACAAAACCCTTTGGAGGACAGCTACTGTTAGGGGGAATGACCCAACAAATGAATGCCATGATTCTTGAAAGCCTGCAGCTTCCAGCAGCTGGCCTCGGGGGGACTGTGATACCATGGAACTAAGTGAAAGGAACTTTCATGAGGAAAGGTCTTATTGTCAGCCTGCTTGCCCAGCCTTGCTGAGGATTCAAGTCACGACCAAAGCCAGGACCTATAATCAGAACTCGCTGTTGGCTTCGTTGGTACTGAGGACCCTCGAGCGATGGTTTGCAGTCCTCAGCAAACGAAAACAGCACATCACAAAACCCGTAAAATGCCAAGGGAGCCCGACTCGGAATTCACATGAGCTACAATCCATGTTTCAGATTATCTGATGGACTCGGCCTGCTTGTTAGGGACTATATCAGATTATCAGGGACTACACTAAACTTACCAGAGGACCCCTATGTCCCCCCCTAATGGTCCCCTGGCAAGCCTGATATTGACAGTAGCTCAGTTACCCCTACAAAGCCACAAGATAAACTAGTTTCCATGTCATTTTCCAAGTCAAAATGTCCATTTGATTCTCCAGTGACTCCAGTCCACTGTAGAGGGTAATACCTCTAAATCCTAAACCCGAAACCCTTTATCAAGTAAGGGGACACTTGCCCTTGGAGTTGCAGATGGTGAGGTTTGTCGACTGGAGACCGGCGTCCCATCAAAGTCAGTGCTTGGACCAACGGCATCGGGAACTTTGAGTGTTGCAATGACAGTTGCTGCCTGCGAGAGGCTGGGCACTGGCTTGACAGAACTGGCTGCCTGTGATCCTGTGCTGCTGGTTGGACTGACATCATGGCCAGGATCGTCATCGACATCTGCAGCAGGCTGCGCTACGTGTGAGGTGCTGGCTTGGACTGGGCCAGGCTGCGTATCAGGTGGAACATCAGGTGCTGAGGTTGGCGTTTGCCTTCCGCTAGCTGCCGTGGATGCTGAAAGGGATTTGTTGACCGCATCTTCGTCGTCTGGCTGCGATGTGTTGGTTGAAGCAACGTCCACCGCAGGCTTGAGGTTCAAGCTGTCGGACTCCGAAGTATCAGCTGGCACACCATCCGAACGGCGCACAATCAGGTTCACCAGATCAGGGGTCAACCACCTTGCAGCAGCTTGTACCAATGTTGCCCTGCTGTTTGTATGACTATGTCACATGAAATGCTGAATGCTGTCTGATTCCGCAACTGAGGCCAAATCCTGAGCGCACCATTGGATGCAACAAGAATCGATCCTGCTGGCAAGCTCGCACCGCCCAGTGCAAGCGGAGATGTTAACACCTGGGTTATTCTCAAAATCATGGGCCCGTTTCGGTTATAGACGAAATTACGGCACCTTGTATTTTGGGGTACCAAAATTTAAGCTCTAAACCCTAAACCTCTAATTTTGGGAACGACCCCACCTGATTCACCACGGCGCCAAGGTCCCAAGAGCTGCTCTCGTAGTTCCAAATGTCTACCAGGTCTCCCTCGGCAAAAGCTTCCTCTGCATCTGCCTCAACATGAGCTATAGGCTAAACTCCTTAAAGGGGGTTATGTAGGGTTTAGGGTCTAAACTCCTTAAAAGGGGTTATACACGGAGGTTTTATTGCGGTTATTAAGGGGGATATTAGGAGTTTAGACTAGAGCTCACATGAACTCAAGCCTTTCAACGAGGTAAAACGATGAAGCAATACTGGCACCTTCTGGGCTGCTGCTGAAGGACTTAATGTAACTTATCATGCTATGGGTATATAGCAGATAATGGGATTCCCGTCATTATAGTAACTTAATCTAAGTTCCTTAACAGCAATCCCAGAACAGAAAGACAAGCAATACAGGCGCCTTCTCCGGACACTCCTCTTCTTTCCTTGGTTGCTGTTAAGGAACTTAGATTAATTTACCATAATGGGTATATATAACCCTAAACCCTAAACCCTAAACCCAATATAGTAACTTAATTCAAGTTCCTTAACAGCAACCCAGTTTCAGGCTGGACTTCTTGGCATTTTCCAACTCTTTGTCCAAGCCAAAGAAAGAAGACATGGCTCCCAGCCTGGGTTTAGGGTTTAGGGCTTAGGGTCCCCCTTAATTAGATAGAATATGGGGTATATGGGGATCTTATTATAATATCCCCAAAGCCATATTCTATCTACTTAAGGGGGGCTATAGGGTTTAGGCTGCGTTTTCCCAACCTTCCCTAACCTAGAGGACCTGGGGAGTTTAGGGTTTAGGGTTTAATGAGGCCCTGATGCAAAAGGGTTTAGGGAAGTTTGGGCGCCCTATGAAAATTAAAACCTGCATGGATTTATAGGGAATATATGGGGATTCAGGGCAATAAGAATTACAAGTTATGCCCTAGATCCCGAAAGCCTAGACCCAAACCTCTAACCCTCTGCCCCCACTCCCGAAAAGCCAGACTAGCAGCAAACAAGCCGAGCAGCATGGATGATAGCGAAGCGTATCCGCCGATCTTCGCTGGATCCTGAAGGTTTGGGGTTTAGGGTATCTGCTAGTGTTCTGGACTTCAAGACTCAAAACGGTCACTCGTAGCATGCGTTAAAAAAAGCTCAGTCGCTTTGACAACCTGAGCGTGAATTTGAAGGATAAACGGAACACAACAATCGTAGCACTGGAACGGCTATCAAAGAAGATCAGCGGGCAAATGTCTTTGAACTCATGCGCACTGCTTTGCAAACAAGAACAACAGAGACCTCACAAAAGGGCAAGAAGATGGGACTGTTGATTAAGTCTTTGTTAAGTCTTCTGGGCCTTGCAGTGCAGGTATATGACCTTAAATCCGCGAGCACTGCTTGGCCAGGCTCCGGCATGGTTTGAAAGAGTTCGGGCACAGCTGCATCAATGTATGGTTAGGGTTTAGGGTTTAGTGTTTAGGACACGAGTGAAACAAACTATGCCCTGGAGCTCCTTCACCTGGTCTGGATCTGTTGGAGCCAGGTCAGAATCTTGGTCCTTATGTTTGCTTTGCATCTACCACTTACTGGGGGTTAGTGGGAGGAAATGAATTATACGATATATCCCCACATAACATATTTCCTCATTCCCTACTAACCCCTAGGAAGTCCACAGGCGTAACACCTCCACCAAGCCACCATGGCGTTGCATGTGCATAATGCCTTCCTCTAACAACATCAAGCTGGTTTCAGCGAATCAGTCAGGGCGGGATAAGTAAAAGCTGCCGCGTGACTGCCCGCCGTAGCATGACTCCTGCAAACAAACAGCGTCCAGCGTCGAGCGAATTTGGTGACATGTTTCTTTTCCCAAAATAGGAGGGGCTCCAATATACACCCCAAGTACACTATAACCTTTACTATTCGGACCCCCAAACAGCACCACTACTTTTAGGAAACCCCCACATGGGAAAAAGGATGTCGTCCTATGTGCTCTTCACTGATCCACAAAGTAGATGTCTCATCGGAAAAGGATACTGCCACGGAACCAGGCGGCAAAACCTACTCGCTGCTTAGAGGGTCAGGGGGGACTAGTGAATAGGGTTGTTATTTGAGCGTTTCTTATGGCGAACAAGACCTTTCCACATCCCTGCGCCGCCCAAAGCCTCCTCAAAATTTTGACGTCCTGCAGATTTGTGTTCCCGAATCTTCCGCGAGCGCTTTTGCTTCAGCAAAGTATCTTTTTTCGTGGAATGCTTTCACCGCACCTTCCGCGACCCTTCCGCGAAGCCAGCCCCTCGCACGAACCTTCCGCGGCCACAGTCCGCCTAGCATTTTTCGAGATTGATCTCAAGTCCTGTGTCGCCAACAAACCCTAAGGGTCCAAGGACCCAAATAATGGGGCTTTGGGGCCCAAATACTACATTCTTAATGGCATTTGGGCCCTAAAACCCTATTATTTGGGTCCTTGGACCCTTAGGGAAATGGACCGAAGACTGAAGGAAAGAAACGCTGCTCGCTGGGGCTACCATAGACCCCGGACGCGGGACCCTCTGAGTACTCTTACGAAACTTTGCTCAGAATCTGTCCAGGAGGCGTATATAACCATACGAAATATGATCACGCGGTTTAGGGTTTCAGGTTGTGGATTTAGGGTTAACATTATCAATGTTGTAGGGTTTAGGGTTGAGGTATTGATTATACTCGTTGTGATAATGAGTCGAAAAGAAAAATCCAGACTGATTCTTCAATTGAGCAGCTGTGTTACCATACGTCAACGGGGAGGTCAGAATTTGGCTGATTTGACCTGTCATGGACACGGTCCCAGCGCGCTGTTCAAGGGGTTTAAGGTCTACCTAAACCCCCAAAGTAGGTAAAATAATGGCCCAAAACCCCTAAATATAGCCCAAAGGGCCATTATTCTACATACTTTGGGGGTCCAGGTAGGGTTTAGATAGAGCTTAGGCTGAAGTTGTTTGCCATCAAGTGACCTTTTTGATCAACTTTCTTGGTTGCAAGGTTCCACGTGTACCTAGGTGATGCACAAATTCACTAAGCTGCATCTCCGCCTGCCAGTCTGCAAGCAAGGAACACAGCTTCTCCCACTTTGAATGGCGTCGGCATTGGAGTTCTGGTACGGAAGCTAACGTACCAAGGAGGAATGCGGTAGGCAAAGCTGTTGGCCAATCGGAAAGATCATGTCAATGCAGGGCTCAACATTCACACAGCAAGCACATGACGCGACGCAGACAAACCGGAGGAAAGGCTCGGCTCTGGACGCTGCGTGCGGGCAAAGCGGCGGGTATCCACCTGGCATTGCGGCTCGCAGTGTTGACGGCTCCTAGTGAACCAGCCTGAGGCCGTGGCAAAGAAGTGCTCAGCCTGCAGAATGCGAACTTGTGAGAACGCTCAAGGCGCTGACACTCAATTAACCAAAAGAAGGCCACACCAAACCTCGCCGACAGCAACGGAACAAGCCAGCCTTCAGGTACGAACCAGAGGCCACCTCGAATACTTCACCAACAGATGCTCAACATTGCTCACCCAGACCCCCTATAAAGGATCCAAAAAATGGAACCCCCAATCCCCTAGTTTCCCCAATGTAGTAATGGGTTCATATTGGTGGGATTCCATTTTTTGGATCCTTTAGGGGGTCTGGGCAAAGACTGTTCCCCAGCCTTAACACAGCACACCTCCAGCAGAGGTGCCAGAATGTCTCCGGTGGTCCCAACGCGTTGACAGGAAGACTGCCTTTTCGAGGATACGATACTTTCCAGAAAAAAGGACCGCCAGTGTAGAGCCCCATATACATTCCTTTGAATGGGACCTCATATCTTAGTTTTCCTGGCTTTAATCCTGGTGATAGGGACCCCAAGAAGGTACCCTAATTTTGGGAAGCCCTAAGCCCTACATAACTATTAAGTATCTCTTATGAATCGCTCTAAAGGTACCCCTAATTTTGGGAAACCCCTATATCTCAGGGAGCAACATGAAGCTTTTTCCCTGCCTGAGGCTAGCGGCAATCTCTGGGAAGCCTGTCAAAGGTTACTTGCAAACTCAGCTGCCTTTGAACTGTTGCAGGTCCTAAAACCTCAAACCCTAAGACCCCAGACCCTAAACCCCAAAAAAACTAAGCCCTAAACCCTAAAACTTTAATTCCCAGAGACCCTAAAACGCTGGAGGTCTTAGGAATCCAAAGCACGAACCTCCATGCAGTCCGGAAACGAGGCTCACCTGAATTACAGGCCATGCGGTTACAGAAGGAAGTCCGTCAATGTTAGTATGTGCATCAGCCCTCAGAAAGCTTCATATGGGGTTACAAAACTATTAAGGGTATGGGGTTTAGGCGTTGGGGTTATCATCATTTCTGTGATTGTTAAAAACTATTGCTATTATTGCATTATTGATATTGTTACTATTATGAATATTTGGGTCATTCCCCCTCTCACAATAACTGTTCCTCACATGGTTTAATCAAGGGGCTACTATGACTTCAACTTCTAATACCTCTTGTTGCAACTGTCACTGTAAGGGGGAATTACAGAATCCATGCTGAGTGATCTGCGCAATCCATAAGCCCAACCGCAGCTGCCAGAACCACAAAGAGTGTGAGATCCCATGGGCGAAGTGAGCAGCGAGCTTTGTTCCCGACCTGGGTTTAGGGTTTAGGGTTCGCCTCTACTGAGATTTCCCAGAATCAAGGGCCCCCTTTTGGGGAGTTCCCTTGAGATATAAAATGTTGGGTCCATTTTTGGGCAAATCAGGCAGCAAGGCTGCACAAGTATCTGAAGCGGCGGCCAGGCATACAAGCAAGCCCGGAATGAACAGTAACTGCCTCATGCATATTCAAGCAGTACAAATGCTTAACAGAAGCGGCACACGAGCATTCATCGCAAGATGGTATGTGCCCGGCCCAACTACCAATCGCAGGACCTCGGCCCCGAACAAGGCCAAGAGCAATGCCCCCAACCTTGGCAAAAGCCAAAACAGTCAACAAACCGTGTGCCACTCTTTCGGAACACAAATACGTTTGAGGATTCTGGGCTTAAGGCTGCAGACGACGAAATTCAAGTTCATCGCTTGGTGTCCTGGCACGTAGACAGCATCCGTTATGTTGGTTTGAAGCCATGGCGAACACACCGCCAGCCGACATACAGTAACTGTCGAAGTAGGCGAAGAACCTCAAGCGCGGCTACAGTCGCTGCCACCACGGCCCTTGCCACAACACCCCATTTCACGAGGTCACGCTTTAGGATAATCCCTCATTGCCCACTACCGGACAAATCCGACTGCACGCAACTTCAACACAACTGGCATCAACTGGCACTTTTCCTACATGCGTGGCCATGTGAAGTACCTGGCATTTGTAGATCATGCCTATCTCCTACACTTGGCTGCTGTAAAGTGTAAAGTGCTCTTCGACAAAAGGCTGCGGCTGTCTGGACAAAGCATTCCACACACCATCACCTCACGCAGCAGACAATTTCAAACCCCTGGGTGGAGCAGCGTAAAGATACTCAACGGACCTGATGTAAGACCAGGACAAGCAACACCCTGTTCCAGTGGAAGTTGGGCTTCCGTTGCAGGACGCTGTCGCCATCCCCACCTTCAGCATGGCTGCGCATGCCCTATCATTGGAGACTGCAGCGTGTCCAAAGTGCCACACCCCATCTGCGAGTCCAACATGGCCCGAATGCCTTGGAGTTAAGCACGGCAAACAGCACTTTCTTGCAGGCACCTGGGCTGAACAACCAATGACATGCCGGCCACACCAGCTGCAAAAGTGCCAGGGATCAGCTGTGCTACAACATCGGAGCCAAATGTGGGGTGGCTGCGGCGCAAAAATTGTGACAATCAAGTCGCATCCGGCTCCTATGGTCACATTTCTGCATTACGCAGCCATTGCCAACTCGGGTAAGTACAGCACGGAGAATGTACGATTCAGATGGGGATTGATGATGGGAAAAAAGCACTAAGGGGCGCGCATCTTCTACATTTGTAGTTGTTGCCATGAGAATGCCCCCACACAACACAACTCCTTCCTGCATAGCTTCTACAAACCCTTAACCCTAAACCCTAATCCCTAAATCCTCTACATCCGTACACACCCCTATGTCTTCCGTATAAAGCCCTTTAAGGGAATACAGCTGTTGCTGCTATCCGAATTTCTTCGGCCTAGCCTGCTGCGCTGTGAGGTCAACTGCCTGCTGCTGGCCAGGTCCCCAAACCATCCAAAAATGAAACCTCCCAAAAATGTCGTAAGTTTAGGGTTTAGGGCTTCCCCAATGTAAAAATGGGGGTCATTTTGGGGGATGTCATTTTTCTTAAGGGGTCTGGGTTGTGGAGCCTAGCTCCGCTTCATGTGGCAACCACGGTATATCGGGATATGCCAGGGAAAATATGGGGGGGGGGGTAATAAGGAATAGGGAAAGGTGTACGAGGGAATATTTAGGGTTTAAGGACATGTCTGTACATCGGGATATACTAGGGAATATACGGGGGGGTATACTCGGGAATATGAAAAGATGTAGTGAGTGAAGACCATTTTGGGGTATATGGGGTTATATAGGGTTCAGGGACATCTCCGAAGCATGATCCATCTCGCAGGCTGCGGGCTGAGTTCGGCATCTGATCTGGTGCCAGGGCGCGCGGATATCATCGATTGCAAGACGCCCACTCCCACAAAGGTGATCAACTACTTCAAC